TTTCCTTCTACTACTGCTGCTGCTGCAACGCGTTTTTCCGTCAACTTATACACTATGATATCAGTACGTTCTATCGTTCCGATCATGTTATATTTGATGTCATGTTATACTTGGTTTTGGCATTTAACACGGACGACGCCTACTCCTTGACATCCATGATACATGTGCGCTCGGAGGTTGTTCGATAACGGCGTCGCGACATCAAACACACTGTAGAACAACTTATCTGTTATTATAAAAATGAATCTTTGCTCAATTCTTGAATGCGCTCTCGAGCAACATTCGAGAACGCGTGTAACTACGTAATGTCGCTGTTAGGATAAAATGCACGCGTTCCCTCGCATTAACAGAGTAATCACGATTACACAACCCAACGACTGAACCAGTCGAATCGTCACTGTTCCGCGCACACCAACCGGACGACCCGAGACCCTCAGTCTCTATCCCCGCCATCGTTTCCACCACCTGAGATCTCCTCAGTGCCGTCGATAAAACCGACGTAACTGACATTTTCTTCCAGTATGCTGTAGTGTAATCATTATATAGACTCCTCTGCTTCGTCCGTGCATTCCCAATGCTTTGCAAAATCTTTTAGATTTATTACGAAAAGGAACTTTTCAGTAAGTTTGCAACTTGTTGTTAATGAGAAATATTATTTTTTAATGATAAATAAAAATAAAGTGTTGGGAAGTAGTTTGAAAGAAAAGAGGAATTATGAGAAAATTATTAAAAAGTAATTAACATTTGAATTGCTCACAAGTGGCTCAACTACATTGCATTACAACAATGAAGTATTGTATATGAAAATTTGCTTCCAAGCAAACAAATTTTTTTTTCGTAATGCTTCGAAATTATGTGTATAACAAATATAACATTTCAATAATGCAACAAGCTATGTACGTACTTTTTTCTGCGCCGTTTATTCTGCTAGCCTTATGTGTATTCTGATAAAACGCTATGAACCTCCTACGCAGCGGCAAGTCGTGAGAAAATGCATTGTTTCTTATGTCGTATAGAAAGGAAACACGAATATCATGATACTGTTCTTTGCAGAACGGAAGTTGTTTAAATTTAAAATATATATACATATATGTACATGCATTCTTATGACATTTTACATTATCATATAGTTTCCTATCTCTTTCCTATGTTTTCTCAAAATATTACAAGAAATATATTAAACATAAGATTATTAAACATAAGAATATTACTTAGAAAAGTATTAAACGTGCTATTAATATATACATATTTTAAAAACACTGCGCTCTAATGAACAACTAGTTAGAATGCATAGGATAAGATTCAACATAAAAATTTGTAAATCGTAATAGGATATAATAGATAGAACGTTACGGCCCTGAATCTACTATTTACTTCGTTGTCCTCGTGTTCAGTCTGCTTACTTCTTTCCACCTGTTCATTTCTGTTGTCTCTTCTCTATCTGTCTTCTTTACTATACCAGAAACTATTGCCGTCAAACGAAGAACACGCATCGTCTCATCATGCGTATTCGGTCATTCACACAAGGTATACCTGTTCCAACATTTGAGATGCGCTAAGTGCATACGTATCTAAATATAGGAACGGTATAGCAAAGATTTGCTTATAGAATTTAAAGCAACTTGATAATTCAAAAATTGATTTCAAGGATAAAATACAGCAATCAATATAATCAAACTTTGATAGTGTTCTTTCAATGAAGCCAGGTATATACATACATTCAATTAATTTAATTATTTCTATAATATATGAAAACTTGGTAAAAGAAATACATCATATTTAATAATGTTATTTCTTACATTTTTTGTTTATTATATTTATTTTCCAATCTGTACTATTACTCTATCATATTAATTTAAGCCTTCATTGAAATTTAAAGCTATGATTTTACTTCAAAGATTTAAATTTACATCTTATAATTTGAATATTTAAATATATAATTTTTTATTGATCATATATGGGCACAATTAATGCAAAAATGATACGTGGTTAATAATTTTTTTTAAATTATTCATAATTCAAAATTAAATAAAAAGAATTTAGTATATGAATAAATTTTAGTATATTTGACAGACTATGCATGTAGAAACATATGTAGAAATAAATTAACATTATTTAAACATTATTTTTAACCTTAATAAATTAGTCACAAATGTTTAGCTCAATGGAACAGGAAATATACAATACTGTATCTATTTAGTGCTCGCGAGCAATTCATAACATCGAACACTGTTCGTTCATCATAAATTATCAGGCGATACATCAAAGAACTTATTCGCAACCAGGCTTGCTTGTATTCGATTCCAGTGTGAACACGATACTATTTTTTCCTATGCTCAGTATAAGAACAATTCGCGAATTTATCGCAAGTAATTTTAATAAATGTGAACATGGTATAATTACGAATTTATCGCAAGTAATTTTAATAAATGTGAACATGGTATAAAACACGTGATATACATATGGTATACAATATATTTACATAAATGGAAAACATATCTACATATATAAAATATACATACCGTTCGTTACTATAGAGAAAAAGAGAAATATTTTCTATATTATTAATTATCAAATATATATATAATTATGATAAACAAAATAATTATGCATATCATATACATATATAATTATGTTAAACAAAAAAAAAGAATAATAAATATTCAAGATAAACAAATTTTAAAAAAGACTGGGAAGACACAGAAACTGATTTCATTAAAATTTAGTACCATTCATATCCAATAGATTAGAAATAGTTCTTAAATACACAATTTGATTAACATTTATTTCTGTATATTTATTATTTATTTCTGTATATATAAATATCTAAGAATTTCATATAGAATATCATACAATCGAATATATTTAACAATACACAAAATATTTTCCTTTTAATTTCTATATTGAACAATTTTGTCTCTCACTGCATCTATTAGGTTGTCTAAAAAGTATTGAGCCTTTAAAGGTAAAAATTGAGAAATATGAAAATAACATTATGGAACCACATATGCCCCATTTTGTTCGATTACCATCTTTCCGGCAACACCATAATCCCATCACTATAGAACTTCTGTAGTTTCTGGTCAAAAATTGTGACGTGCTTTTTAAACTAACTTAACACCATTGAAGGAGTTCTGCAGAGACCGAACAAATGATATTTTGACGGTGCCAGGTCCGGGCTATACGGTGGATGCATTAAAACCTCCCAACCAAGTTCTCTCAATTTCTGACGAGTCATTAAAAATATATGTAGTCTGGCGTTGTCAGCGGTGTGGTATACGACCCTTCCTGTTGACAAGTTCCGGCCGTTTCTTTTGAATTGCTAGGTGCAATCGCTCTAATTGTCGACAGTACAAGTCCGAGTCTATCATTCTACCTGGCGGCAGCAGCTCGTGATGCCCTTCCAATCCTACCAAATGCACAGCATAACTTTCGTTGGCGTCAGTGTAGGCTTTGCTACAGGCTGTGGAGCTCTTCGCTTTGACTACGATCTTTTTCGCACGTTGTTGTCGCAGGTTATCCACTTTTCATCATTCGTTATAAACCGCTTCAGAAATGGCTCGAGTTCGTTACGTTTCAGTAAAGATTCGCAGATAGATCAAGTAAATTTTTTTAAATCAAATCACGTGGCACCTAAACGTTGAGCTTCTTTTTGCAGCCAGCTTTTTTCAAATGGTTTAACATTATTTGATAATGGATGTTTAGATCCTTGGCAATATCATAACTGTTTACATGCCAGACTGCTTACATCCGACTTCTGCCAGAATATCATCCACTTTTTCTGTGATTGGTCGCCCACTGCGAAGAGCATCTTGAACTCGAAATTTCCAGAACAAAAGCGATTAAACTATCTTTTGGCTGTTGTTTTTGATAACGTATCTTGCCCATAAATGATATAAATTTCTTCATGGGCCTGCGCAGCATTTGTGTCTTTGTTGAAATAAAATTGTAAAATATAGAGTAGTTCATTCATCTTCACGGCGTAATAACTCACGTCTGAGTATAAGAATTTCAACACTTTTTGCACATCTACTAGTTTCAAATCCCAGCTGTTAAATGACGTCCTGGTTTCTTTTTTTCCTTCCTTGAGTATTTTTCTCTACAGTTCCTGGGGTGCAGAGTCCCTGTAACCTGTATTAAACACATGAATTATTTGTAAGTTAAAAGGTTTTGAATAGTATTTAATGTAGGTAGGAATTGCAGGAGAAAAATTTTAAAAAACTTGCTAAACTTAATGACGTCCCGGCTGACCCGCTGCGGCTCATATACTCTGAGATTTAGGACACTAACGCTATCTTGTGAGCAAAAGGCTCAATACTTTTTAGACTACCTGATGCTTATGTATATAAACAAATTATCAAATCAATATATATAGCAGTATATATAGATGTAATATAGCAATTAGATTACAAAATTACATTTACGTAATTAAATACGTAATTTAATAATACATCTATAAAATATTTATTTAATTTTTCTAAATAATCAATTAATTTTTCTAAATATTCAAAACATAAAAAAATTAATTTTATTTTACTTCTACACTTTTGCAATGAAGTATATAATATTTAATAAGAATTTTTTAAAACTTATATTTATATCATACTTAGCACCATTCAATTTACCACAGATATGTAAGTACACATGTAAGTAAATACCAATATACCAGTCTATAATTTGATAATTTCTCATAAAATTTTTGATTAAAGCAATTTTTTTCATTGTCTCCTTGACCTAATTTATTGTAATCATTAGAATTTCATATTAAAACTGGCCGACAATTGAAGATATCATATATACTTCTATCTTCTACTTCTTTATTTTAATTTCTCATTCCTCTGATTTTAATTTTGAAAAATATTCAGGAGAATGTCAAACCTTTTAAAAATTTAAATGATATTGCAAAATTTAACATTACATATAATTATATATATACTGATGTAATTATTAAAATATTTTAATAATAAATTTTATTTTTACTCTTTCTTATTATATTAATTAAAAAATATACATAAAACGAAAATTTTAATTGTAAATCAATTATTTCTTTTTATTGGATAAATTAAATATATTGCGTAAAAATAAAACAAATTAAATATTTGTTAACAATTAAGTTGTTGCAAATTAAATGGCGAAAATTTATAATATAAGTTTTAATATTTGTAGCTTTTTTTGAAAATAATATCAAATATAATCAAGTTTCAATTCAGTAGAGTCGATATATTTCGACCATAGTAAAACAATTTTATAATTACTATAATTAAAGTCTATCTATTGTAGTTGATAATTTTATGGTTCATTGTTTATATTTGCATTTTATAATCTAGTTTCTAATTAAATAACAAATTATTTGTTCTCTTAATATAATACTCTTCGAGCTTTCTCTTTCGAAAACTTTTAAATTTTCTAGAGAAATTAGAATTAACAATTGTTCATAGTTGATTCATAATTGATAGATTATCTAATTTTTAATGTTAAAATAATCGATAAAATATCGATTATGTAAAATTTGGCAAGTTTCAAGCTTTAAATGATTTAATGAATGTTATTCGACAACAACATTTTTAATCTTTAAATTCTGAATTATTCTATACGCTTATGAAATCACTGATATTTTATATACAACAATCTAATATATTTACTGACTAAATTTTATTGTTGAATAAATTTATAATAATAGTATTTTAAACATCTTAATTTTTTATCTCAACACATTTCATTGGTAGAATAATTCTGATTCTGAGTCAAAAATTAATATATGAGAAATATATAAATATATAAGAAACTCTTGAATTCTGTATGATAATATATGTTTCAATTATATAATTAAAAATTTCAAAATTTAAAATATGATATACTGTGGTTAATAAAATAATTCCAATATTTGCAAAATAATGATTTTAAAGATAGAATTAGTTTCATTAACAATAATAATTACTTAATTAGTTAATTAAAAGTTAAATAGAATTTAAATTAAAATAAAAATTCGTCGTTAATTCACACACTAAAGATAACTGAATTTTCACTTTTAATTTGATATCAAAGAGTTTTTTATATTAGAAAATGCTTTATATCAGAATTTTATAAAAACGCATTCTCGGATGTCAATAAATGTCACTATTCACTAATCAGCGTGCATTGATGTAGGTATATCACAGCGCGATCTATCGTTTTGATATGTACTATTATTAAAGAAAGGTTCTGAACTGACGGAAATGCTGCTGATTCATAATCTGTATAAAAGAACAACGAAGAAATGTACTAAGTATCAATAATTAGAGTTATCACTATCGTTAAAAGACACAGATACTTATTAGTTGAAAATAATGGTTGCAAATTCTTAAGTTGAATGTCCAGTAAATAAAACTGTGTAGTTTGTTTTTGTATGACGTAACCTATTTCTTAAGTGCACATTCATCAAGAAAGAGATAAGGCTGACATGCGTTATTACTGGTTCGAAGTTCGCGTGCCTTCCCTATCACGTTGTGATTTGTATTTCTTCTGACCGTACTTCCTTGTTTCTTTGTCAGTATCGGCGTAATGTTTGAATTATACCAACATAATTTACGTAATATCTACTACGTCCTATTACAACAGTTAGTGATTCCGTCGAGTTACCTTCTAAAATTTAGGTAACTTACAATTACAAAGATGCTCGAAAGAAGAAGCCATAATAAGGCAACTATTGCACTTGGAGAACATCAAATTCGAAAAGATGAATTCGTTTTTGAAAACGGTCAATCCAATGACAAACAAGAGGGTTGTATTAATCAGAGAATCATTGCAAAGGCAGTTAAACATCAGTGTGATGGAAATGCAAAGTGCACCAGGAGTGGAGGAAAACAATACAGTTGGCAACTGCGACGAAAGTATGACCTTGTGTTCTGTTTTGGAAGCTGTGTTCCTACATGGTTTAAAAGACAGTCTCTTGAATCGAGTAACCGAAGTTCTGAGTGGCCCAGATTTCAACGCAGTACCTCAGCCAAGTTTTTGGGGTCCACTATTGGTATTCTCTCATCGACAAATCATAGATCAGATACAAACGTTAAGTCAACTTACTACAGAAGTTGGATATTGCAGAGCTTGGATACGATTGGCTCTGAACGAAGGTCTTTTAGCTAGCTATTTTTGCTCCATTAAAAGAGATAATTCAGCTTTAAAACCATATTATAATCGGTCTGCATTTATTAGAGACACAGACCTTGTGGAAGTTGCACAAAGGCTAATTGAAAGTTTAGACAACATATGTTTTAAACTTGCATGTAATAGTAGCTTATTAAATTCTTGGTCAAATACTCCTCTCTTATTGGCTGGAATATGGTCACCTCCAATGAAATCTTGCCCTGTATTTAGTGCAGTAGATATTGCAAAAACAATAACAACAGAATTAACTGATGGTGACAATTTCGATGAAGTTGAAACTGCTAGTTCTATTGGTAGTTTAGGTTCATTTAATTCATCGCAGTCTGCTCTTAATAATATGGCTTCCATCACAGAGGATGAAGCTTTAAAAATTATATTAGCTAATAAGAAAGCAAATAACATTGGTATAAATAATTCGATTAATAATTCAGGAGAAACTGTATCTTTGAAAGAGGAAGGACAAAGTTTACAGATAGAAAAAAAAATAGAAGACAGAAATTCAAGTAATAACAGTCCAAAGTCTGACTCAGAAATTAATATATACAATAATGTTAAGAATTCAACTGAAGAAAATATTATAGATAATCATGAAACTTCACAAAATATTGTTACAACTACAGTAGGAAATTCATTGATTGGAAGATTGGGATGGTCTACATCATTTGAAGACTGTGAATCTTCATTAACTTCATCTTTAATGTCTCATGATTCTGGAACAAACGCACCTCGTACTCCTGGTGATGGACCTACATATGATGCTATTATTCAAAGTTATCATACCGTTGGAAATAAATCAGTTCCAGATTTACAAGAATTTTTAAAAAAATATCCGAGAAAACAACAATCTAGTGATGGAATCAAAGTTCAATCAGAAAATAAGGTAAGATAATAATAACTCATTTGCATTTCACTTTATTTTAATTCTAAAGATTTTAGATAGTATATAATGCATATGTAATATAAAGTATAATATATATTTTTTTATTTTTGTAGGCTGCAATAAACTTTGAAGAACAATTGGGAAAGCTTCCCAGAGAGAAAGGTTTGGATGTACAAAATTATAGTTGCTTTGAATGTGGTCATGCAATTGGTATGACTTTTTCAAAAGCACATGTTTGTTCCTTCTCTTGTAACTATTACTGTTCAAACTGTATGTCACAAAATGAATATCTTATTCCATCACGAGTAATTTATAATTGGGATTTGAAATGTTACCCAGTTTGTAATAAGGCTGCAGCATATTTACAGGATTGTCCTAAATTACTAGATCTTAAAGTTTTAAACCCACGAATTTATATGGCTGTAGATAGTATGGCTCAATTACAATCATTAAGAATTCAATTAAATTTATTGAGAGCTTATTTATTTACGTGTCGTGAGCCTATAATCGAATCCTTACAGAAAAAGGTCACACCTAGAGATTATTTATATGAACATGTTCACCAATATTCTGTTTCTGACCTTTATGATATATCTAATGGAATTCTTGCACAACAACTACAGAAAGTAGTAGAATTTGCAAGAAATCATGTTATAAATTGTTGGCTTTGTAGTCAGAAAGGTTTTATATGTGAAATCTGCAATAATCCAAAAGTTATTTATCCTTTTGATATGGAATCTACATACAGAGTAAGTAATAATTTTATAATAAAATTAACAAAAAATTTAATTTAATAATTTATTAAATATTATATGATTTTAGTGTGGAGCCTGTAATGCAGTATTTCATGCAGAGTGTTTAAATGCTAATAAACCATGTCCAAAATGTGAACGAAAACGCAAACGAATGGATCTCCCGCTTTTAGATGTGGGTTGCACAGAATTGTCATTGAATGATGCACCAACGTTCTCCGTTGACATAAATTAATAAATAGAGTTTTTAACAAATCACATTTACACACACTTTTATTTTTTATTTATAAAGTATTTATAATATTTTCTTTTTTATAAATTAATTAATGACAGAATATATTTTTATTAAAATAAATCTTTATCTTTATAAAGTTTAATAACTGATATTTTGATAAGCATACAGCATGTTCGGTTCAAGTGTACACTTTATATTATCTTTTCAAAATGCGAAAAAAAAGTGAAAATTATTCGATTGCATAAAAAAAAGTTTTTTTATCTAATTACTATTTAGAAAAGACTTAAATATTTTTCATTACTATTATCTAAATAGATATTTTTATAAAAAATTTACCAGCATGTGTAAGGAATAAATTCAAACAATAATTTGTCGCATAATATCATAATGAAAAATAATAAATGTCACGATTAACGTTTTTTCTTATAATATTTAATAATATTACAAATAATTGAATTCAACTGTATCGTTACGTTTTTATTTATCGAAATGATTGTAAATCTTAAAATAGTGCTGCTACAATATAATCTTATTTTAGATATGTATAGTATTACATAATGTATGGAAAAATATAATTATTCTATAACTAATAATTCTATTACTATTTAATAGAAATTTGAGATGTTTATTAATAATGTGAAAGAAAAAATAGAGTTTATGTTTTTCAACGTGATTTATTTTATTGCGGAGTTTCACCAAATTTGTATAAAGATGTATAATTTAATACATTTATATTTAAATTATATAAAATAGATTGTTTAAGGCTCAAATTATATTTATTTTAATAATCAAAAGCATATATAAGTTAATTCAATTCTTTTTCATTTCAAATATTGAGTAAAAGATATTAACCGAACGTGTTACATATTAATTTTTCATAAAATTATTTAGCACATTATTTTTGTACATAATTGTTATACTTATTGAGTTTATTTTAAGATATCTAAAAATATTTAAAAAGTAGTAGTGAAAAATATTGAGTAAAATATATAAAAGTCTAAATATTAAAGAAACAATTTGAGTTTGTATATACACTTCAACCGAATATAGTATATTATATTTTTAATATTTTTTAAAAATTATACTTGTAAATATGTACTTGTAATTTCTATTCTATATACTTGTAAATATGTACTTGTTATTTCTATTCTATATAATTTCTCAGCACTATATATTTATAATAATTAATAAAATGAACTGTATTTAATATTAAGTCTTTATTTCTACACTTCAGATATGTTAAAAATGTACCAAAAGTTTCAATTTTTAAAAATGGATTTTTAAATGTATGTAAGAAATACATGTATTTATGTAATATATATTTTATAAAAATTTTATGTACAAAAGGTAATAAAATATATCAGTCATTTATTAAATTATTTTATATTTATTATATTTAATACTGTTATATGTATCTACATAATATAACAATTCAATATGTCTTACATACACATCCTAAATGTGTATATACACACTTTAAATGTGTATTCATAAAACTTTTTAGTTTTAATGTTTTTGAACATTAATAAAATTTCATGATATAAAACACTTAGTAATTAATAAATTATATACATTTTTTGTATGTATATAACTAGTATATGCAATTTAATGAAATTTTGTTACCATGTTATTGAAAAAAGTGAAATGCATATACATATATCAAGTACTTTTTAGACTAGAAATGTTTTACGTGTTTAAAAAAAAATACATATATATTTATATATAATTATATAATATATATAATCAAAATAAGTCGTATTTTTAAAAAGTTACAGAAAAACAAATATTGAGAGTGTTTCAAATATTTCAATTTCCTATTCTTGTATGTTTTTAATACATTTAATTATTTTATCAAAATTAATCAATTTGTTGAAGCATCTAATTCATTTTATTTATCCAAACATCTTACATATTTTCATTACCAATTCTAGAAATACTGAAAATATAAAATATTACGTTATATCTTCTAAATACTACTACTTCTAAAAATATGTGATACAAAGTATATACAAATCGCTTTTATTTATTATTTTTATAAAATTATAAAAAATATATATTTAAAACAACACTACATGAATTTTACTAAATATAAATTTATAACAAATCTTTCTAATCTAATTTTATCATAAGACACATTAAATTCTTTGATTTTAATCATTTAATATACTTATTCAGTTTACTAAAGATTAATACTTCATAGATTGAACAATTTATAACAACTACAATATCTACATATCTTAGTCTGTACAATAAAAACTTTCCCAGGTACCTATTTGAAAAATAAGATTATGATTTTGTAATATAACGATGAGCAGTATCTAATTTCAAGAACGAATATTAATTAAGTTCTTACATGGCATTGTTTTAAAATTTGAATTCAGTTTATTATATTGTTAAACATAATGTTACTAAAAAATATTATGTGCATGTTATAATTAATATATAATTTTCTAAATTGTTTTTTTTTGATAATATTAAATAGCAAGAATATAGAAAAAAATTACTGGCAAAACCATAAATTTTTTGGAATTTTTATTTATATTGTCTTCTTTTAGCAATAAGTATTGAAATCACTTAAAAAGGGTGTATATATATATATAAGGGTGTAATAAGAAATGAATATATATATATATATATATATATATATA